GGGCAGGGGGGCATCGGGCAGGGAGGTGGCGGGCGGGCAACCTCCTGAGCGCGGGCGGCACTGCCCCCAGGGCTTCTCGGACCAGGCGTACCGCCAGCGCCGGAAGCTGATCGCGGAGATCGCGTTCCAGTACAAGCAGTAAGGACCCTGCCGGCCTCGGCCTCGGGGAGCCAGACCCCGTCTTGGAGCCTCACACTGGCAGGGGGGCGGGCCATCTCTGTCACCAGCGCCGTCACTGTGGCCACTGGCTCGGGGCCCCGAGCCCAGCCGAGCAAACAGGAAGCTGCCGAGGCCCCGCGGCCGGCCGGTGCTCAGCCCCAAGCCCCTCCTGTCCGCCCCCCTGCCCGCCCTCCCCGAGAGGCCCCTGCTGACTGCGCACCCACTCCGCAGCGGCGACCCTATTCCCCGCGTGGAATACACGGCCGAGGAGACTGCCACCTGGTAAGACCCCGGTGGCCCTCCCGGGGCAGAGGGGACAAGAAGGGCCGTGTGTGGAGGCCGGGGAGAGGAGGGACTTCCCAAGGCCCTGACCGTCCACCTGGGAGGAGAGGCTGCTGCTGGGTCCGGTCATCCCCGCGGCCCTCTGTCCCTCGGAGCCCCCCCAGTGGCCAGGGTCTTCAGGGTCCAGCGAGAGGCCTGCAGTGGGGGCCCCTGCAGAGCCTCCCCGGGTGGGGGGGGGCAGAGAGGAGCACCCACAAGGACGGGCCGCTCTATGTGGGGAGGGGCCGGGGTCTGGGTGGCCAGCGGACATGGCCACGTGGGGACGGGAGCCCCGCAGCAAGGCCTGAGACCCTTGCCTGCAGGAAGGAGGTCTACACCACCCTCAAGGGCCTCTACGTCACACACGCCTGCCGGGAGCACCTGGAGGCCTTCCAGTTGCTGGAGCGCTTCAGCGGCTACCGGGAGGACAGCATCCCCCAGCTGGAGGATGTGTCCCGCTTCCTGAAGGGTGCGTGGGCCGCAGGGGAGGGGCCCGCAGGAGGGAGGCGCCCACCCAGCCTGGTGCCCTGACTCCCATGGCCCTTGCAGAGCGGACGGGCTTCCAGCTGCGGCCCGTGGCCGGCCTGCTGTCCGCCAGGGACTTCCTGGCCAGCCTGGCCTTCCGAGTGTTCCAGTGCACCCAGTACATCCGACACGCGTCCTCGCCAATGCACTCCCCCGAGCCGTGAGTGTGCACCTGCTCCCCACGGGGCCCGCCCCTGCTGCCCAGCCTGCTGCCCGGCCTCGCGCAACGGGACCAGAGGGGTGCCCACCTGCAAGCAGACGGAACGTGGGGGAGGGTGCAGGGGGCGGGCTGTCGGCCCCCCAGCCCCCCAGCCGCCCCTTCTCCCCACCCCCACAGGGACTGTTGCCATGAGCTGCTGGGGCACGTGCCCATGCTGGCCGACCGGACCTTTGCTCAGTTCTCCCAGGTGTGTCTCAGGCCTCAGGCGGGGGCCACTGTGGTCCGGGGCCGGGGGGCTGCACCTGCCGGCCATCCCCGGCACCATGCTTGAGTCCCTTGGCGGCTGGACATTATCCGCTTGGGTCCAGGAGGCTTCAAGGAGACTGGATGATCCTGGAATAGAGGGGCGGGTGGGCCATGGCGGGTGTGCTTGGACCCACTCTAGGAAAACCTCCTTATAAAAATGAGTCAGCCCTGCTGCTTGCCGAGCCCACAAGCGGGGGCCGGGGCGCGGGGTCCCATGGCCTGTGCTGCCACCTGCTGGCTTCCTGAAGAACAGCAGAGAGCTGTCCTGGTCCCTGGATTGATCCTGGGAGGGTCCCTGCATCCCAGGAGGGTCCCCCATCTTCGGAGGGCCCC